GGATTAAAAAATGGGTATCATTAACGATTTTTCCCCTTTTCCGCCTTTTCTCTTTGTATTTTTTCTCCCCCCCTGTGGGGGGGGGGGGGGGGGAATGTTGTTACATGAAAGGGCAGGGGTGCGACTGCAGGGTGTTTTACCCTTTCTTTCCCCTTTCCCCTTTCTCAATGTTGGGGAAAGTGTCTTCGTGTCTTCGTGTCTGGATGACTGGATAACTGGATAGATGAATCAGGCAAACTCCGCAGACAGCTAGTTAGCTAGATAGATAGATTGGATAGATGAGATAAGAAAAACTAATAGTTAGTTAAGAAGTTAAGAAGTAGTTAAATTAGTCAGTTAGTCGTCTCGTTTTCATCGGAAGAATATCTTAAAAAGCGCTCTGTGTTCTCGCAATAACACTCAACTCAACTCAACTCAAACTCTTCTTTTGCCCTTTCCCCCCCCTCCCCGCTAGGCATAAGAGGATTGGTTGATTGATTGATAATCAGTCGACAAGAGAGCTGCGCGCAAGCGCAAGAGGGCTGTTTGTTGGGTGTTGGGTGTGTCTTGGGAGGGCCCCCCCCACCTTTGAGCCATGTGGACAAAAAAAGATGCTTTGACTGTTTTTTTAGCAAAAAGATAAACAAAAAGCAAAAGCAATTATCATTTTTCTTTCAATTCTGATATCACTGACAGATATGATTGACGAAAAGGTTAAGTTAGGTAGGGTACATGATACGGAAATATGTTTAGACAAGGAACCAAAAAAAAAAAAAAAAAAGAAAAAAAAAAAACCAAAAACCAAAAACCAAAAATATAGCGAAAAAAAAAAATAAAAATAAAATCAAATAAGACGCCCCATATAAAAAGACTTGGTAAAACAAGAGAAACAAGGAACGATTAAAGGGGGAGAAGGAAGGGTAGGTATATGCATGTTTTCTTCTCAATGAAATAAGGAGTAAGATAAGGGTGCCTCAGCGGTTCCTCGAGCAACAAAAGTCCCACGGCGCCCTTCCAACAGACATCAATGTCACCCAACCCACACGTCTTGTGTGGATAATTTGGAATGTGACAAAAAAAAAAGAGGAGGGGGGAGAGAACAATAGAAGGTAGGCAGGACAATAAACAATAAATTGGGAGAAAAAAGAACTGAACGGGGGAGGGAGGAGATTTAGTGACGTGTTGGTGGCGGCGAAAGGGGAGATAGATTCATGTGTGTTTGTTCTTGTGGCACACTACGTACGTAAGGAACAAAGAAAAGTATAAATATTTCAAGCATATGAACGAAACAGCGTGATTGTTTGAATTATGTAGATAGGAATCACAGAAAAAGGAAAGAGAAAAAAATGACACGAACGAAAGTACATGTGACAACCTTCCCATCATCATCACCTGAGGTGATTTTCAAGTTGATTTGTCACAAGCGGCAGCAGTGGATGAAAACACAAGTACAGCGTGAACCAAGTGGTGGTGGATAACACTTGCCGGTAGCTGCTCTCCTCTAGAGTAGCGAGGTGTATAAATCAGAGCCCGGCAATGAGGGGTTTGCTTATGTTGACATCTCGTCCGCATCATCACGCTTCAAATGCCAGAACGCCGGAAACAGTTTGTGGGGTAAATCTCGTAAGGATTCAATCAGGGTGTAGATAGATTGAGGGAGTAATAGGTGTGCGAGGAATTTTAAGGAGAGAAGATGCGTGGATAGGTATAAGGGCGACAAGATCAGGGTTGCAAATAAATCGGGAACATGGTATCTCGAGCATGGAAAAGGAAAATGATGAGGGCGTATATATAAAGTCCGAGATTTGATGAAAGCAGGAAAATATTTTCGCTATTCTTGGATATTCTATTTCCTGGTGATGAAAGTAATGGTAGATCGATGAGCCAACTCCTTCGTGGATTCATTAATAATGACCGCCGTCTGGGTTAGTAACCTAAAGGGATAAAATTTGTTAGCACAAGAAAAGAAAAAGAAAAAAAAAAAAAAAACCACGAAGCTAAGCCAGCCAGGGATCCCATACCTTCAAAATTCTTCTCGAGAAATCCTGGTCGTCAGCGATACTTCCATTGCTCTGGCGCCGGTGAGACATCATGGCTTGATCCAGGCGAGAGTCGGACAATGATGATTGCTGAGAAGATAGTGGTTTGCCTCCAGAAACGAAGCTGCTAATGGTTGCATTGCGACGATATTCCTCCTCCACGGCCTTGCGCTTTTTGTATTTCATGAAAAAGAACCCGCCACCGATGATGGCACCCAGTGCAACGATGCCAACAACCACGCCAGCTGCGATGCCAGCCTTGTTTGGGCCTTTTCCTGGTTGGCCAGTGGCGGTAACAACGACAGTGGGCCCTCCATTATTATTCGAGCTGGACGAGGTTTGGGTATTACTGGAACTACCCGTCGATGACTTTCCACCAAGCACTGGGACGTTCTTCTCCTGCATGAAGCCAGTAAGGAGTACATGGTACGCATTATTCCCTCCGCCTGAGATAGTCAGTCAGTCAGTCAGTTTTGGTTTTCTTCTCTTTGATACCGGAGAAAAAAAGTATGTCGTGAATGGGATTTGACACTTACAATTATCATCAGGCCATCCACCGCAAGGCGTGTCGCACTTATCACTAGTCGTCTCGTCAGACTCTCGCGGCAACTGATCACCACAGAAGCAATTGAATCCGCTAACAGCCATAACAGGCTTCTGGGATTTTACGCATATTTGCTGACAGTGCCCAACCGACTGCCAAGTATATTCGCCGTCATCCACTAGGGGGTCCGACGACTTGTAGCAACCCTTGTCGACGGTCTTGTTCACGAATATTGGATCGTCTTTTTGTTGTCGGATAACACGGACTGAATCAGTGGAGCCTATTCCGATAAGCACCGCCAGAAGGAAGCCATGATATATGAATGACTTCATTTTCGGAAAAAGCGAGGTGGTTTTTTTTTTTTTTTTTTTTTTTTTTTTTTTTTTTTTTGGTCAAAGTGTCGTTATGGAAGGAGGGAGGAAATAGGAAAATTGCGAAAAATAGATGATGCTGATGGAATAAATGGGAGCGTATTTCCAATTCTGGACTGCTGGAGCCCTGGGTTCTCAAAACAACAAGAAAGAGGGCAGCAAAGAGCGTGCGCGAAGGGTCTATACGAGTGTTTCCCTCCTGCTCTTTCGCTCTCTCTCGCTCTCTCTCTCTCAGTTTCAAGAAGATCAAAGATCTGCGCCTGTATTTCTGGCTCTCCAGGGGGGACAGACGACTTGCTCCTTTCTGTGTAATCAACGATCCTCCCCTAGTCATTCACCATTGACGCGGTTGTTGTTGTACGTGAGCGATACCCGAAGAAGCGAAGTGAATCTGACAAACCGGCGAATCCCGGCCAACAGTGAGATCGACGTTATGTATGTATGGTATCCAAACCGGAAAAAAAAAAA